CTTCTTCCCCTGCCGCCTTCTTCCCCGCCGCCTTCATCCCCTGCCGCCTTCTTCCCCGCCGCCTTCCTCCCCTGCCGCTCCTCGCCTGCCGCCTTCTTCCCCGCGGCCTTCATCCCCTGCCGCCTTCTTCCCCTGCCGCCTTCTTCCCCGCCGCCTTCCTCCCCTGCCGCCTTCTTCCCCGCCGCCTTCCTCCCCTGCCGCCTCCTCCCCTGCCGCCTTCTTCCCCGCCGCCTTCATCCCTTGCCGCCTTCTTCCCCGCCGGCTCCTCCCCTGCCACCTCCTTCCCCGCCGCCTTCCTCACCTGCCGCCTTCTTCCCCGCCGCCTTCATCCCCTGCCGCCTCCTCCCCTGCCCACTCGACAACGTGGTCGTACACAGGCTGCTTTGCCTCCATGGATACTCCTAATAGGTACATTCAAATTTAATCATAGCTACGTTCATATACTACATACCCTTGGCTCCTTTATTAATAAGACGGACAAGCTAAACTAAGCGACGACCAATATCGACAACTCGGTCGATCGTATTCACTGCCACCATTGTTCACATAAACTATGCACACAATGCACATTTTCAATTCCCCATATGGCGGTGCTTATGGCGGCGAAAATGATGGCGTGGTAGGGCGGGTCGACCACCGCCAGAACACCGTTGACCGTCTTCCTGCAGCACAGGCCCGAGCTTATGGTGCTCCTAATCCTGCAAGACTTCAAATGACGCCCGAGAAGGGCGCCTTACGCTTCACCAGGTGTGACCGCGTTTGGGGTCAAACATCCGGAGCTCCCACCCAAGACTCTTGACGCTCTTAGGAGAGCGTGCATCGAAAATGAGGAGAACGTGGATAGTATTTCAGAAGTGATCCGCTCGGAGCTGGACATAGCAGGTCGCGAGGGGGCACTCAAGCTTCTGGCCGAGCTTAAATTCCCGCCCATCGACTGCAAGCGCGTGCTTGACAGCCTGTTGTCGACAACACCATCCAATCACTCCAACAAGACCAATAAGTCGAAGTCGCGCATTAGGTAAGCAGCCCGGCACAATGCCTTTCGATTGACCATTAATATTGCATTGAATTCACACCTAGGTAGGCCTACTGGGTGACTAGAACCATCATTACATTACATCACTTACACATCCGTTCCTAATGATGCATGCAGTGATGCAACGGAGTCTTCGGCCGTGAAGGTGCCGGCCTGCGTTCCTGAGGCCTTCGCCGACGTCTTCAAGCCCATGAACTCACAGAGTGATGCCAGCAAGTTCAATGTCCTCGCGGCAACCGAGTGAGTTGACATGGAGCGTTGTTGCATGGGGGTCACATTCCCAACGCGTGCCCTAGGGCAGGCCTGCCGCTCTTCCCTTCCCTGCTTTTCTCCCCATGACGGCCGTACTTCTGCCCTCGCATTCAGGGTTATCAAGGCGGGCATTCTTTGGACCGACATCAGCGAGGGCCTGGCACCCCGGAACGACACCCCTGCTACGACACCGATTCATATCAAGACCATCATAACGCACTGGATGACTGTACTGTGCCATATCAAGACCATTGGCAAGGGCAACCTCCTATCCCTAAAGAGGAACAGCACGGCACGGAAGGAGGTCGAAGCAGCTCTCCTTAAAAGCATGAAAACGTGCATGCAGAATTACCAAGGCGGTAAGTTTGCAAATTGGGGGAATGTACATATACACCTGGGGGTAGTAAATCATGCATTGGAAAAGGGACCCCCAACAATAGCGCACTTTTCAATTTCCCCCCACTTGCAGTGTCAGTTCCCGACATGTACGATGGCTGAATGTGTGTGTACGTGCTATGGTGCAGGGCTCAAGCCAAAGGGCTACGAGGGCATGTTCAACACGGTGTGGACGGAGGTGAAACAGGTGAAGGAGCAGGGCACCTGGGAGGAGCCGACAGATGACATGCGGCAGAAGGCCAACAAGGAAGCCAGGGAGAAGGCCTTGGCAATCTTTGGGCGCATCAAGCAGAAGGCGGGTTTCGTGGACAAGAAGAAGGATGGTGGGTTTCTGGGATGGGCTGGGAGGAGGGTTGACTGGATGGATGGAAAGACTCATAGTGTGCGGGACATTCACAGCGGTTTTACACTCTTGTAAGCACGATTTTGATCCCTACAATGTGATCATGATTTGCAGACACAGATCAGGGCGGCAATGCAGCTGCCGCCGAAACACCAGCTGGTGCCGAAGAGGTAGCCCCTGTCCAAGTTCCACGACAGCAAGAGCAGCAGAACCCCGCCAACCCGCCGACCAGTGATGAGGGTGACGGGACAGCTGCAGAGATGGGTGAGAACCCCACTACGGAGGAGGGAGAGGAGGTGGAACGAAAGAAGCCCCGTGGCAGGAAGCCGGCAGGAAGCCGACAATCAGCTGGCTGTAGGAAGCGAAAGGAACCACCCCCAACTGAGGCTGGTGCAGAGCAGGCAAAGACCAGCCGCCGCCGTCGAGGGTCAGCTGATCCACGGATAGGCAGTGAGTGAAGTAAGTTGTGCTCTCAGGGTTTTGGTTTTGGGTTTTGTTCAGAGTTGGGCACTAGCTAATGTTAAAACCCTGCAGCTGATGTGTGTATTGCCACCTATAGCTATCCTCCCGGTTTCTGTCGTATGACAGTTATTAAGCATAACCTTAAATTTTGCCATTTCTTTTCCGTGCATGCAAAACAGGTCTGGACTCTAGAGTCCCCGTGGTGGGAGACCTCGGATTAATCAAATATCGGAGAAATATTTGATTATCCGATATTTGATTATCGGAGTCAGGAACTCGTTTAGTGAGACATGTGTATGGAGCCGTACATCAGATCATACGGAACTGAATCTGGGGGCTGGGTCTGATTTCCTTTCTCTTGATATGATGACGTTGGTGTAATTAGCGAGTTTATACACACCCCGAGCCTGGGGCCATGGGTGGGCTCTACAGCCCTGCAAGGCTTGTGTTGGTGAGGCAATCTTTACAATTGTACACTCGAAGTGTTTGGTGAACATGTATGTTTGTATGTGTAGACATGTGAGCTTGATACAGGCATATGCATGGATGGAAGTGTATAGAGAGGCATGCAAATATTTTTTTACATAGGCGAAATAGGCATACGTGCTCACATAGATGGATGAGACAGCTGTGATAGCATGTGTAGGCAGGTTGGACAGGGACATGCTTACAATCCATTGACACCAGCACATGGCCCGGCATACGGACAAGGAACACTTGTAAACACGGGTTACCCTGTCTGTTACCCCTCAGTACAATATTACCCCGACCCCTTTGTTACCCCTTGGTAAGGGGTTACCCCTACCCCTTTGTTACCCCTTGGTAAGGGGTTACTCCTACCCCGGGGTTAGGTTACCCACCTCCCTTCGTACATAGCCACATGGGTAACCACTTACCCCTACCCCTACCCCTAACCCCTGGGTTATGCTTAAGGGGGGGGGTTACCCCTCGTTTTATGCCATAGGGTGAGTACCAAGCTACAGCGGCGGCTGTTCGTGAAGCTTTGTGGCTTCGCAAGCTGATGGTCGATTTGGGCTTGCCTGAGAGCGCGCTGAAAATCCAGATAGACTCCCAGGGGGCGCTTAGCTTGGGAAATAATCCGATTACGTCTGCTGGGTCGAAACACATCGACGTGCAGCACCACATAGTGCGTGAGAGGGTGAATAGCAGGGAGGTGCAGTCGGAGTACTGCCCTACAGAGTGGATGGTAGCGGATGCGCTCACGAAGGCACTGGGAGAAGTGAAGTTCAAACGGTGCAGAGAAGCTATGGGCGTTGTGTGAAGTGCCCATTGGCGGAGCAAATGTGCTACTGCGAGTTGGGATATGTCCCGAGGGGGCGTGTTGAAGGGCGGTCCTATCCCAACATAGATAGTTGGTAGTTAGGCGATGATAGGCAATGCCTCGAATGTGCCTCGATCTTGCCTCGGCCGTGTCCAGACCTTGCCTCGGCCATGCCTCGACTTGCCTCGGCCGTACCTCGACCTTGCCTCGAGTCTCTCGGCCACGTATCTCGGACGTGACCTCAGGTCCAGGGATGGTGGACATCTGTACGATACTTCCATTGGTACTGGTATATAAGACACGAGTTGTGCGAGTCTTAGTATCTCTGTTGAGGAAACGGTACTTATCCCAACTTGAGTATTGTTGGACATGGGATTCGACCCCGGGTCTGTCTGAGACAAGCGGCGAAACTTAACACGCCACTTCTGGGACTGCCGATGCATGACCGGTTAGTGATGCAAGTTTGGGCACCGTCAGGACGGCTCCGCTAGATCGCGGAATGATAGGTGGGCGAATCCACCTGACTGATTGGCGTCTATCAGCGACAGTCGCGCACCGCGACCGGGTCCGGCGCGCCTGTCCCAACGATAGTGCAGGATGGTAGGCTGGCATATCCAAGATTGATTGATAGGCGATGACTCCGGCCGCATATCTCGGACGTCCCCTCGTGCCCAGCGTTGATGGTGGGCGACTGTACGATACTTCTGTTGGTATCGGTACATAAGACCAGAGTGGTGCGTGTCTTTCTATCTCATCTTCGGATGGATCGGTATTCCTTAACAGGAATCTCCTAAAGTCTTCTTGCCGTTCACCACTAACCCACAGACTGTAACCCTTATATCGCGACCAGTCTCCTTGCCTTCATATTCTTAACAGGTTATGAGCCCCGGTTAACGCTAGTTGCTTACAAAGCTAGCACGAAGAAGGCATAGGACGCCTGCAAGCAATTACAGTCGGACTTGTTTGGGAGTAGGACACGTTATCAGCGATTCTGAGCGGGCACACACTTTGCTTGTTGGTTTGCCCAGCCGCTTCAGCATGGTAACGACATCCCTACTGGTGCGTGACGGCGATTCGGACATGGCTATCGTCACCTCGAAGTTCTTGACTATCGAGATGGCAAGCGGTGGCTCTGGTAAGCCTACCGAGTCGGCAGCTTTTGCTTCTGTCGGCAGTTTTTCGTTTGGCGCCTCTGGTTCTGGTCTTGGGAATCGTGGCGCGGCCAGCAGCAGTTCTGGCGTTCCTCTCAAAGAGGTGATTTGCTTCTATTACAGCAAGCCTGGGCCCGGTGGGTCTAGCAAGGGATCAGTTTTCCCGAGGCAGGTTGCGTTTGTAGCTTACAAGAGTAAGTGATCCTGGCCGAATATGGGAATGGAGGACAGTATCGTTGTGTGTACGTCCCCAATGTCCGCCTTGACGAGTTTAGTGTCGGCCGGCGGCATAATGCCAGGGATTACGATGATGGGTCCGATGCCGACGAGGGTTTCACAC